TTGAGCCCAGGAGTTGGAGGTTGCTGTGAGCTGTAATGCCACAACACTCTACCCAGGGGGACAGCTGGAGGCTCTGTCTCAAAAAAAAAAAAAAAGAAAAAAAAAAAGAAAAAAGATCATGAGTAAGAAACACATTACTTTTTTTACTTTCCTATTGAAATGCTGCAAGAAAGGGAAGGCATACTGTACACTCTAGTCACTCTGAGACAATAAATATTTCAATATCACCCAAAATTGGGGAGAATATTCCTATAACACTGCATGACAAGCTTACTTTGGCCTTTCTTTCTGGTTGTAAGTTGTATCTTAAATAAAAATTAGAGGCTTTAAACTAAAAACATAATTTTTATAAATCTATTTTATTTTTTTAAGACAGAGTCTCACTTTGTTACCCTGGGTAGAGTGCCATGGTGTCATAGCTCACAGCAACCTCAAACTCTTGGGCTCAAGCAATCCTATTTCCTCAGCCTCCCATGTAGCAGGGACTACAGGTGCCTGCCACAAGGCCTGGCTATTTTTAGAGATGGGTCATGCTCTAGTTCAGGTTGGTCTCGAACTCCTGAGCTCAAGCAATCCTCCCACATTGGCCTCCCAGAGTGCTGGGATTACAGGCATGAGTCACCAGGCCTAATTTTGTAAATCTATAGGAAAAGACTGCACTTTATCATAAATGTGTCTCCCTTCTCCTACACTGAGAACTGTGGCTCCACCCACATCACCATCTTCACTCATTTGTTCAACCCTGTAATACAGCTAAAACAGTTCCAGAATCGTTTCACTCGTACCATTACAAAATGGGAAAACAAAAAGGAAAGACGTCAGTATTTGTTTATGGTTTTCTCTCAACTCCACCCAAGACTAAAGGTGTATATATACGTGTGTCAAATGCATTCATAATTTACTTGAATTCTTTTCTTTTAATACCCTTCAGTGTGACTGTGTTATTCACTTGAAATACAGTTCACCTGTTTCAGGTAGCTCCTTGATCCTTATTGATTTCATTCTATTACTGAATATAACAACTATTAGCTTGTTTCCAAAAGTCAAAACTATACCAAGAGGGCATGTAGGGAAGTGTCATGTGATCCCAAACCCTTCAGTCCTCTCATCTCTCCACCATACCTTATAATTGGTGGTTTTGTTTTGTAGTTGATCCTTCTGTGTTTCTATTTTTGTAAAGATAAATGATACAGTTTATTCATGAACAATATACTGACCCGCTGGATGGTCAAAAACTCACATATAACTTTTGATTCCCATAAAACTTAATTACTAATCGCCTCCTGTTGACCATAAGTCATATCAATAACATGAATTTTATTTTTCTTTTTTTTCATGAATTTTGTATGTTACATGTACTACGTACTATATTCTTATAATAAAGTAAGTTCTTGGAACTAGGATCTTTGGAAAGAAAAGAAAATGTTATTAAGAAAATCAGACAGGCCAGTAGATCTCTTGAGCTCAGGAGTTTGAGACCAGCCTGAGCAAGAGTGAGACCCTGTCACTACCAAAATAGGGGCTGGTGGTGGGCACCTACAGTCCCAACTACTCAGGAGGCTAAGACAACAGGATTACTTAAGCCCAAGAGTTTGAGGTTGCTGTGAGTTATGATGCCACAGCACTCTACCCATGGCAAGTAAAAGATTTGGTCTCAAAAAAACAAATAAACAACAACAACAAAAAATCTCAGCACCTGTAGCTCAGTGGTTAGGGCATCAGCCACATACACAGGAGCTGGTAGGTTCAAACCCAGCCTGGCCCTGCTAAACAACAATGACAACTGCAACAAAAAAATAGCCGGGTGTTATGGCGGGCTACTTGGGAGGCTGAGGCAAGAGGATCACTTAAGCCTAAGAGTTTGAGGTTGCTATGAGCTGTGATTCTACAGCACTCTACCAAGGGTGACACAATGAGATTCCGTCTCAGAAAAAAAAAAAAAGAAAGAAAGAAAAGAAAATCAGACAGAAGAGAAAATATATTTACTATTCATTAAGTGGAAGTGGATCATCACAAAGGTCGTGTCACCTTTGCAGTCTGAGGAAGAGCAGGAAGAGAAGGGGTTGTTGGTCTTGCTGCCTTGAGGTGGCAGGGGTGGAAGAGATGAAAGAGGCAGAAGGGGAGGTAGGGAAGGAAGGCACACTTGGTATAACTTCTATTGAAAAAATCCGCATATAAGTGGATCTGCGTGGTTCAAACCCATGTTGTTCAAGGGACAACTGTATATGCATGTTTTCTTATTTCCACTTCATTTTTACAGAAGGCCTAGTACATGGCAGATGCTCTTTTACAGTTTTGCTTTTTTTCATTTAACAATACCTCTTGGAAATCTCTCCTTATCGGTTCACAGATATTTGATTCTTTGTTCTTTTTATGGGTACATAGTACTCCATTATGTGTACATCCCATAGTTCACTGACCAATCTCCATGACTGGACATTCAAGTATTTTCCAGTATTTTACAATTGTAAATAATGCTGCGTTGAATAATCTTGTGCATATGTATTTTCATACTGGAGCAGTATAAACATAGTAAGTTCCTGGAAGTAGGATTTTTAGAAATGCATATATAGTTGTGTTAGATATTGCCAAATTCCTCTCCACATGTGCTATGCCATTTTGCATTCTCACCTGTAATATACAAGTGCCTATTTTTACCACAGTTTTGCCAATCAAGTGCATTGTCAAGCTTTTGAATTTTTGCCCATCTGCCAGGGGAGAAATCGTATTTCAGCATAGTTCTGATCCCATTCCTCTTAAATAAAATTAAACATCTTTTCATATGTTTAAGGACATTTTTAACATCTTTGTGTGAATTATCTACTCATATCTGTTACCTGCTTTTCTTCAGATTTTTTTATAGATAGGATTCTCAACCTGGGGTCCACAGAAAAGAACATGGGTAGAACTCAGGGGGTGGGTATCAGTAAATTTAACTAAGAAAAAAATGAATTTTTATTGTTAACTTTTAACTGAAGTTTAACATTTCCTTTAATTATGAATATAGATAATAAACCATAAGTAATATTAGCACTCTATACTTTATTGCCAATATAAATGAGACTATTTTGCAGTTGTAGTTATCTTCAAATTATCATTTTCACTCATCACTAGTTTAACGACTTAAAGAACGGCTGCCACATTGCATGATTACAGCCTTCCTGTCTGCAGATGCTCACGTGAGGAAGCTGGGAAACTACCAAGCAACTCTGCACCTGGCAGCCATGCAGCCACCAAACAGCCTCCTGGTGACTGAGATGTCTATGCTGCTTTCCACCATTTCCTATCTGTAAAATTCTTTGTTGACATATGTGCATTTGGAAAGGTTTTCAACTCTCAAATTTATTTCTACTACCATGGCATTAAATTGTATCATGTATCAGAATCCTTTTTAATTATAAACCATATCAAAGATATTGATCTAACAAATGATAAATTTACTGATCTTAAAACTCTATGACTGGAGTTAAATTTAAAAAGTCTTGGAGAATTCTAGTTATGCTTGAGAGAAGGTTATCTTTCCTTGGAAAGCCAGCTACAAACGTGTTTAAGTACATTTGTAAGAAAACAACCTTTGTGAATCAGGATTTTCTATACTAGTAACCATCAAAACAAAACCCCCAAATCACCTGGATGTTCAGTGAGACATACATGTTGCCTTGTTGAAGCCTACCTCAGAATTTAATGTTCTCAGTCAAGCTAAGCAACAACAGTTATCACATTGATGTCTTAAAAAATAAAATTTGATTCTAACTTCTTTAGAATTTAAATGTATTATCTCATTATTTAATGTACCAATAAAGAAGACATACAATTCTGTATCACAATTTTTTTCCAATGTTGGTAACTATATTTCAACATAATTGTTTTTCTCTGTAACCCTACATACTGTGCATTTAACATTTAAAAACAATATTCCAACAAAAGGCCCACAGCATGAAAATAGGTTAAGAACTTCTGGTCTACACTTTCAACCAAATATGACAGCATTAAGACAAACAGGGTAATAAATCAATGAACACTTCCCTGTGCCACATGCAACAATACAACAGCTCCCCACACTAAATAAAACGTTCACTGGAACCCGAGGAAGACAAGACTTAGCACTGAATAAGGCAACTCGTACATAATAAATTATTCCATCATTTGTAACATCTTAAACTACAAATTTATTGTACTGCCAAGAAAGTTTTGGAGCCACTCACCGTCAGCAGAATGCACGTGGGAATTGCCAATCTGGTCCACCAGCAACATGAACACGAAGCCCAGTACGAGGGAAACACCAATGTAGGCATGCAGCTCTGTGTGGTTGTGGCTGTGCTCGTGTTCATGGACAACTGGTATTTCTGCTGCTTTGTCTGATGCAATCACATTCTGTGTTTCACTTGCTTGATGATGTTTTCCTAAAGCAAAATAAACCATAAAGAGAAAATATGTTTTTCCCCTAAAAATGTTTTACTGTAGAAGCTTCCATTCTTTTGTATTTCAAGCTCTACTTACTTTACTGAAAAGACATCCACTTTCTATATTGCAATCCAGTCAATCATAAACTCCTTCAACTTAAAGTTCATGATGAAAAAATCCCCAAGTGTCTTCTGCTTTTGGCATGCAGACCTTCTGACTGCCTATTATTCTCAAAACCTGGGAAGTGGAAGCAAATCACCATGCAAGAAAGCAATCATATTCCCAAAGGGAAATCATCCCCAAATCCTCCTTTCTGTCTGAGAAATTCATGCCAATCTCATCATAAACTACACTGTTACCCTAAAGAAAACAGGCAAATGAAGAGCAGTAACAAAGAAAATAATTATAATCAAATTCATCTAGTTTACACCTAGGTTGATATGAAAACTGCAAATAAAGAGCAAACTAAGTAGAAAACTTTTACCTTTAAAAAATATCAGGAGGGAATCACCCATAAGATACCAAAAGGGCAGAGCAATTAAGAGGAACATCCTTTTAGTCTAAACTTAGTTCTAGAAATACCGCAATTGTTGAAAGATTCTGAATTATAATGAATGACACCTATTCAACTGACACTCTAGTTTTTATCCACACATTTGACACTTAAAAGATAAATGCTTCAGGCAGCGCCTGTGGCTCAGCGGGTAGGGCGCCAACCAAGGGTGGAGGGTTTAAACGCGGCCCCAGCCAAATTGCAACAACAAAAAAAATAGAGGGGCACTGTGGCGGGCACCTGTAGTCCCAGCTACTTGGGAGGCTGAAGCAAGAGAATCACCTAAGCCCGGGAGTTGGAGGTTGCTGTGAGCTGTGTGACACCATAGCACTCTACAGAGGGCAATAAGGTGAGACTCTGTC